GACGGGGGTGGCCGGGCCCCCCCCACGGGCGCCATGACCTGGCCGGACGCCGAGGGCCCCAGGGACCACCCAGAGACTGCGGCCCCTCGGGGCTTTGAGGGACACCAGGGCTTGGAGGGACACCAGGACCCCATGGACCACCAGGACTTCATGGGCCACCAAGGCTCCCAGGACCATCTAGGGACTAAGGCCCACCAAGGCCTTGAGGACCACCGGGGCTCCGTGGCCAACCAGGAGCCCATGGGCCACCAGGACTTCATGGGCCACCAGGACTTCATGGGCCACCAAGGCTCCTGGGACCATCTAGGGACTAAGGCCAACCAAGGCTTTGAGGGCCACCAAGGCTTTGAGGACCACCAGGAGCCCATGGACCACCAGGACTTCATGGGCCACCAAGGCTCCCAGGACCACCAAGGCTTGGAGGACCACAAAGGCTTTGAGGACCACCAGGACCCCGTGGCCAACCAGGACTTCATGGGCCACCAGGACTTCATGGGCCACCAGGACTTCATGGGCCACCAAGGCTTCATGGGCCACCAGGACTTCATGGGCCACCAGGACTTCATGGGCCACCAGGACTTCATGGGCCACCAGGACTTCATGGGCCACCAGGACTTCATGGGCCGGGCCCCCCCCACGGGCGCCATGACCTGGCCGGACGCCGAGGGCCCCAGGGACCACCCAGAGACTGCGGCCCCTCGGGGCTTTGAGGGACACCAGGGCTTGGAGGGACACCAGGACCCCATGGACCACCAGGACTTCATGGGCCACCAAGGCTCCCAGGACCATCTAGGGACTAAGGCCCACCAAGGCCTTGAGGACCACCGGGGCTCCGTGGCCAACCAGGAGCCCATGGGCCACCAGGACTTCATGGGCCACCAGGACTTCATGGGCCACCAAGGCTCCTGGGACCATCTAGGGACTAAGGCCAACCAAGGCTTTGAGGGCCACCAAGGCTTTGAGGACCACCAGGAGCCCATGGGCCACCAGGACTTCATGGGCCACCAAAGCTCCCAGGACCACCAAGGCTTGGAGGACCACAAAGGCTTTGAGGACCACCAGGACTTCATGGGCCACCAGGATTCCATGGGCCACCAGGACTTCATGGGCCACCAGGATTCCATGGGCCACCAGGACTTCATGGGCCACCAAGGCTCCCAGGACCACCAAGGCTTGGAGGACCACAAAGGCTTTGAGGACCACCAGGACCCCGTGGCCAACCAGGACTTCATGGGCCACCAGGACTTCATGGGCCACCAGGACTTCATGGGCCACCAAGGCTTCCAGGACCATCTAGGGACTAAGGCCCACCAGGGCCCCTCGGCCAACCAGGGCTTTGAGGACCACCAGGACTTCATGGGCCACCAGGATCCCATGGGCCACCAGGACTTCATGGGCCACCAAAGCTCCCAGGACCACCAAGGCTCCCAGGACCATCTAGGGACTAAGGCCCACCAGGGCTCCATGGCCAACCAGGGCTTCATGGACCACCAGGGCTTCACGTACCACGAAGGCTGCCAGGACCATCTAGGGACTAATGCCCACCAAGGCTTCGTGGCCCACCAGGGCTTCGTGGCTCCTCAGGGCGCTGGGGACCACCCAGGGACTAAGGGCCATCAGGACTCCGTGGCCCACCAGGGCTCCCAGGACCACCCAGAGCCCAGCATCACTCGTGGCCCCGTGGCCTGGGTAGACTTGAAGGTCCACCAAGGCTTCGTGGCCAACCAAGGCCCCAAGGACTACCTGGAGACCAAGGTCAAGCAGGGCCCTACAGCCTGTCTAGAGCTGAAGGTCCACCAAGGCTCTGGGGCCACCCAAGCCTCCAAGGCCCATCTGGGGATCAAGGGCCACCCCATGGCCCACGTAGACCTGAAGCTCTGTGAAAGCTCAACGGCCAACCAAGGCCCCATGGCCCATCTCAAGACCGAGGTCAACCAAGGCCCCGTGGCCCCTCTAGACCCGAAGGTCCACCAAGACTCCATGGCCAACCGAGGCCCCGTGGCCCCTCTAGACCTGAAGGTCCACCAAGACTCCATGGCCAACCGAGGCCCCGTGGCCCCTCTAGACCCGAAGGTCCACCAAGGCCCGGTGTCCAACCGAGACTCCACAGCCCATCATCTAGAGACCAAGTCCCACCGAGACTTCGCGGCCAACTGGGCCACCCCGTCCCTTCTGTGTCCCCGTGTCCCCTCGGGCGCCCACCTGGGCTTGGTGCTGTTGACCTTGGGGTCCCTCCTGCTGCCGGGGACCTCGGGGGTGGCCCTGGAGTTCGGGGGCGCCCCGGGCCAATGGGCGCGTTACGGCCGTTGGGCGCCGGGGGCCGGTGGCCAACTGAGCTTCAGCTTGAAGACCAACATCTCCCGGGCTTTGCTGCTCTACCTGGACGACGGCGGCAACTGTGACTTCCTGGAGCTGCTGGTGGCCGAGGGGCGTCTCCGCCTCCGCTTCGCCATCGCCTGCGCCGAACCCGCCACCGTCCAACCGCCCCCCGCCGTC